TATAATTAAATTTACTTTTTATCTGTGACAACTTTCCTCCACTGTAAAGATAACTGAGTTTAGATTTATTTAATTAGTTTTTAAATGTTATCGTACATTGTTGGGTACTTATAGCGTTACGCTTATGTTAAAACTTGTACATTCTTTCACCGCGTGTATTCAATTCGTCCAGTTTATTAAATTTTTTGTTTATTGAAAGGTTTATTAAAGACATGGCCACGGGCCGCTCAACTCGCGACCCGACAAGGACTCGGCCTGGTCAAGCCCGTTGGCCACAAGTCCGGGCCTTGTGGGGATCTTAACCGGGCCAGTTAAGGGCCCTATTTTTTTACCCTGGCCTGCGAGGTCAAGCCGGGGCAAGTTCGGTACAACGTGGGAAAAATCACATATATTGTTTGCTTTTTTATATTTTTTTTATTTGGTCAGACACAGACCTAGTTTGGGGCCGGCCTGTCTTTTGGCCATCTCTAGTTTATTACATTATTAGTATTTTCACCCGTGCGATGCATGAGACATATTTATTAAAATATATTAATAAATATATTAATATATATTATAAAAAGTAAATTACAAATAAATAACAATATTATGAATCGATAGTAAAAATGCAATATTGTATGGTATTACCTTGCATAATTGTTTTATATATTTATATTGACCTATGTTTATTAGTAATTATATGATGCATATTATTTTCACTTTTTTTTTTAAAAAAAAAATAGATAAAAAAAACTTACAAAACAGTTAACTAATATATTCAATTATCTTTTTGTTAGAATGTTAAAATGGTTTAGATTTTCTTAGGCGAAATAATCTAAATTTGATAACTTTCAACATTTGGAAGAAGTTTTTATTTTGTTTTAATTATAAATGAGCCTAAGTATAGATTCTTGCATTTATATGTGGTAAAGGATATGGAAAATTTAAATACCTTACAAATGCTTTTTTTTATTTTCGTTTATAACAGCTTCATTAGATGTCAACTGATATAAGTGTGTGTATTATTATACCCTTGCCTTTCAATAGCCATACAAATAATAAGATTGCTTTGAATTAAGTTGAAATATTTTTACCTATTCACTTATTTTGTTTAAATTATAATATCGTCTTTATTTTTGTTTTTGATAAGTGGTTGGTGAAACGTCAAGTAATCGGCATGCCATACAAAGAGCAAACAACGTTATGATAAATTCCAATCCTTTTGTGATAATTGATCTATTCTTGAAATCTCTAATCTCGTGCAATGTATCACTCAAGATCAATTTACTAATATCAACCGTGTTGCAGATCTTCATAACTTCTGAAGTATGGAACACATAGAATAAAAATATGAATATATGTTTATAAGAAAATTTTGTATTAGAGAAAATTAAAATTAAACATATGCAAGTAATGACCTCTAAATTTCTTTGTACGACACATCTGCAGAATTATGACCAATGGCTCATCCTTAGCTTTTTTGAGATAGGGATTAATGACATCCATATATTCTTCCCATAAGGTACAAATCAAAATGATTGTCGCTGCAATAGAGAAGATGGAAGATATCTTTCATAGGATAAAATTATAATTTGCATAGTTGCATATACATGCTTACAGTGGACTTAAAACACATTTACAATGGTCATCTATTTTTCATGTGGTAAGAAATATTAAATCAGAACTAAGACACATAATCTGACCTCTATATCATTCATGGAGTTTCACAAGACAATCAACTTATTTGATATGTAATATTGCTTGAATTGCTTGTGGAATTATGAAATGCGTTCGAGGAGATTTATTCGATATACTGATGAGATTATTATTCGATTTATTCGTGAACCGTTGATTTATTCATGGAATTCTTCGACACATTTGTGGAACATTACTTGATATGGTCGAGGAGGCATTATCCTATTTATTCGTGGATATATTCAATTTATCCGTGCAAAATCATGCGTGGAAATATTTGATTCTCTTGTGGAATTATGTGATTTATTCGAGGGATTATGTGATTTGTTCATGAGCATATATTCGATTCGATCGGAGATTATTCGATTTGTTTGTGGATGTACTTGATTTATTCGTGGAAATAATTTGATTTGTTCATGGAGACACTTGATTTGATCGTAGCTATTTGATTTGGTCGAGGAGAGAGATTTATTCATGGATATGATTTTATTCGAGGAGATATTGTTTTGTTCGAGGAGACATTATTTATCTTGTTCGGAGAAATATTATTTGATATATTTGCGGAGGATTATTTCATCGGATTGTGAAATTCTTTGATTTGCTCGAGAACATGGATTATATTTACATAATTGGATATCTTGATACGCTTGGACCATTTATTTGGATTTTCGTGTGAAAATGTGGAATTGTGTCTAACTGATTATTCATAATTTTTGAATATGTCATTGCTCGAGCATGTATTAAGTCGAGAAGATGGTGATATTTATGTTTGACCTCTTGTTTTTCTTGCGTGGAGCATTGCAAAAAAGATAACTTGAATATAATGTGGATACTAATATCTCTCTGAATTCTTGTCGAGGAAACAACGAAATAACCCGAGTCTGGACGAGCTATGGCGGACGAGTTGTTATGTGTCGAGGACAAAATGGACGAGCATGGATCTATACAAGAAGGGTGATAATGAAGCACGAGCATGGATGATGTCGATCACCGGTGGCAACCTCAAAGGCAAAAATCAACTTCTTTGGGAAAGGTATGACAATTTGGAGTGGTATTCTTGTCAGGTACAAAACTATTCTCAACTTTTGATTCGGTGGGCGAGTTTGATCGACACACAATTTACGGACACGTTGAGGCTTTCAACATTATTTTTTGGAGAAATATTAATTGTTTAAATATTTTGGGCAAAATTAATGTGATGATGCGATACATGGATATGTTTGGGATTATCATTTGGATGACTAACAAAATGATCGGATGTTATTATATCTCATTGTGTTCGATGTTTTCTTTTTCGACCTCAGTGGCAGGTCGAAGAATTCGAGCACACGTTACCATGTACAACCAAGAAAGGGAGGTCAAATACATTTGATATTTTTTATCTCTTTTGACGTAATTATACATTTGAAGACACTAACGGAAATGATCGATTACTATCCTATCTTGCTGTATTTGGTGTTTCTCCCTTTGACCTCAGTGGTAGGTCGTCCGACTGAAGAAAAAAAGCCCTTCGTTTTTGAACACCCCGCTCAAGGGGTGGGCGAAGGTCGCTTGCTTTCTGTACACTCTAAGGGGTGGGCATGTGGTCGACAACGTCCACGCCTCCGGGCTGGACGACCACAATGTTTTCGGAACATCCCTTAGGGTGGGCAAGTGACAAGACCAAAGTCCCTCGTTTATGGAACACCCCTGATCCTGCGATAGGGGTGGGCGAGGGTGGCTCGTTTTTGGAACACCCCGCTCAAGGGGTGGGCGAGTGACAAGACCAAAGTCCCTCGTTTATGGAACACCCCTGATCCTGCGATAGGGGTGGGCGAGGGTCACTCGTTTTTGGAACACCCCGCTCAAGGGGTGGGCGAGTGACAAGACCAAAGTCCCTCGTTTATGTCGCTCGTTTTAAAAAAATCAAACCTGTTAAGTTAAAATGTAATGAAAAAAATATGCCAAGAGTGTTGTATGTATGCAACATGTTGTTGAGACAAATAATAACTATTTTTTTAAAAAAAAAAAATAGCTATCCTTTTTATTGACAATACGGAACACATCCATACATGTATAGAACACAAACTTTTAGTTATGTATAATTTAGTTCAGGTGAGTTCTAGGAAAAAATAAATGAACAGACAAACACTAATAATATAACAATAATAGGTCGATCGAATTAGTGAACTTCATCAACTTATGTAGACTTACTTCAAATCTTCCAGAACAACTTCCACAAAACGTGAAGTTCGGCCATCGATTTCTTTGATCAGCGGAGGTTGACGACTGACCACCCGCCTAATCATATTTATTGTAGGTTAGATTAAAAAACTCAATTTATGAAAATAAAAAGGGTAATAAAACAATTTAGTTAA